AGTTATAAAAGGCCCCGACATGACAAAATGTAAAACAAATCAAACGAAAATATCAGCGCGAAACAAACATGCTTTCAGAGTTACATATGATCCATTAGCAAAGAAGATTAGGCAACAAAGAGTAATCAAGTAATTGATGAGCTTTATACACCAAACAAACTTATTCGAAGCGTTACTAAATAGTATTCTAAAGAATTCATCGGGATACAAAGGACAATAATAGATAATCAAGTAGTAAGGAAGACATTCGAGCAGACTACACACAAGGCTAGTAGTGAGATTTGTCAAGGTTATTGTACATTGGGTGTAATCAAGTATTGTTTGATATGATGATAATTATCGTTGAATTGCAAAGATGTTTACAGTTACACAAATCTGCATGAATGCTTGAAGTCATTGGAGAGTATTTAAAATATGTCGTTAGAAGCTTGCATAGTTCATTGTACTTCGACAGTTAGGAAAGCATTTGTTTAAAATGGCAAACCAATGACTCTGTTTTAGTTGGTTGAAGGTATGTTAATTGTTATGAATGTTATCTCAATAGTAGTACAGTGATTATCAGTGGTTTTTTCTCAAAAATAAATAATACATCGCAATTATTGAAACAAGGCACAAACAGTCAACTATGTTTTTTTTTTCTAATTTGTATGTTTGTTTTAATTCTTGATGTGGGATGAGAATGCATCGACATATTTCTACTTACAAATAATTACTTGCATATTTGTTCCAGTAGAAGCCATAATTATGATTAGCTGACATCAAGTGCAAGTCATTTCAATATCATCTTTTATTTTCGTATAAAATACAGCTTTAACTGCACTGCTATCAGTGACAATAATAAAACAAAACATAGAAAAACAAGCGAAATGCTTGATACAACTTCTTTATTTCATGATTGTAGCATGAAAATGAAATTATAAGAATTACATCCTGCTTTATAGAATTTCTGTGCTGACTTGAGTTATCATTGATATGTTTTTAATTATAAACTAACTGTTAACAAAACTTTGATTTTTTATTAATACTAAGGCTTTTCTACCTCAGGAATAGATTACCTTAGCTGTATTTGGCAAAACTTTTAGGAATTTTTGGTCCTCAATGCTCTTCAACTTCGTACTTTATTTGGCCTTTTTATTTTTTTTGTATTCGAGGGTCACTGATGAGTCTATTGTAGACGAAACGCGCGTCTGTCGTAAATATAAAATTTCAATCCTGGTATCTATGCTGAGTTTATTTATATGGTTGTAAAAACGTGGATCGTGCGCACATTTTTAGTATGAAGCGATTCCGCGCTTGAAACAAAATGTGCATCGGTAAATGCTTTTATATTCCTATAAAATTTTAAAAAGAAGCGTTCAATAGTTTAATAATATAAAAAAATTCTCAGGCATCAATTAAGTTACTCCAAAATCATAACCATAGAAAAGTTCCTGAGACAGACATTCATGTGTGTATCACGTCTCTTGTAACTATCAGATAGTATTTCTTTGTTTTTCCGACCTTTTTTCAGTGATAATAGATGTTTACAAGACCGCTTTAAAAATGTCCTGAAACTTTTATTGTTTGAAGCAAAAACGTATTGCCAATATCAATAGATCAAAGGAATAAGTAAATTGCGTTTAACATGTTTAAGCAAAGAGGGATTATCGTATAAGAAATACCAGGTTATGGTTCTAACATTTGGTGACTAGAAACAGAAAGATTGCTTTGTCAACTCCAACATGTGAACAGGTAAAGGTGAAACTTCTTCAACCGTGGGAACCAAACTAGTTGTAAAAATGTGCCTCAGATAGGATTAAGTCAGGGAGTCCATGGTTTGCTATACCATGGACTTGAAACAATTTGATTACTATATTACGGAATTAATCCGAGTCCCGAATTTTTTTTGGCTCATACTTTAAATAAGTTATAATTTAACGTTTATAATATAAAAATAAGAAGATGTGTCATGATTGCCAATGAGATAACTCTCCAGAAGTGAGTAAATGTCTATAGGTCACCATACGGCCTGCAACAATGAGCAAAGCCTATATCACATAGTCAGCTATAAAAGACCCCGAAATGACAAATGTAAAACAATTCAAACAAGAAAGCTAACGGTCTAATCTACGTACAAAATCATGAACGAAAAACAAATATGTTAAATAGCAACAAACGACAACCACTGAATTACAGACTCATGATATGGGACCGGCACAAACATAATTCGGCGGGGTAAAACTAGTTTGAAGGCGCAAACCTTTCACTAACCTTGGACAGTCGTGTAACAGTAAGTGCAATAATATTCTGTATCTCTAACAACAGAATAAATTGCATTTCTTTTTAAGCACACGTGTACAGTACTTTAATTTTACAGTATTAGAATAGCGTAATCTTTAGAAAATTAAGAATCTTTACAGATCATTCTTTAAAGAACTTATTATTTTGAATCTTGAAAAAAAAAATTACGCACGTCTACGAGAGGTTAAAAGAAAGCGTCTGTAACAGAAAATAGCATTTCTCGTAAAGGATGTATTTAAATTTTTATAGTTCCCCACCCTTGCCCCTCCCCATCGGAAAATCACATATCATCCTACAAGTACATGTACCTGACGATGAGAATAACTGATACGGATTTTTGTAATACGAGTTGTAATTCAATAATTTATTACAAAGTATTTATCAAACAAACAAAGAACACGTTTGATATTAACGACATGTTAACCAATAAGAATACAATAATAAGATCGAATCTCTGTTCTATTCCAATAAATTCTAAAATCCGTAATATTGATTTAAAATCATTTGACAAAATATTATCGCACATTTTTAAATCGTAAAACGAACTTGACATCAATCATTTATGTTAAACATAATTTTTTTTTATATAATCAAGAGCTGACATCATTCTACAATAGATTGCTCACTAGACGAGCTCAGATTGGCAGGAAATGATTTCCGACCAGTTTAAAATGATTGACAGGGGAGAATTATTGTTAAGGCTCTTTATGAGGAACGTTATGTCGATTGGATTATGGAAAGTATCTCTTCGAGCGTCTTATCAAAAGGTTGCAATTGAATAAAAATGAAATCTGTCTCCAGTGCCGTGTGCGGGAAACCTTATGTCGAAAGAATTATGCAAAGTTTCTCTTCGAGCTTCTTATCAAAAAGTTTTATTTCGATAAAAATAAAATATTTTCTCCAGTGCCGTTTACTATCCATATCCGTATTTGTCTTTAAACTGACGATGAAATATGTTACTTAATTCTAGCATTCACCAATCTTAAAATAAATCAATGTACTGACTAAACATCGGATGACTGCAAGTTCTTGTGGATGGTCACAAGCACTTGTATCAGAAAAAAATCACATTCTATACCCAAAAGTTAGGTTAAGGTACACTTCACAGATACTTTTTTCCGGAGACAAGTTCCTGTGTGGATGATGAATAAATGACAGGGAATTCAACCTCACCGTAAAAACTATTATATTGTTAATCGGTATACTCTAGTTTGTTGTTATATATTATATTAATATATGTATAACAGTTATATGTAATTTTTATCCATTTGTATATCATTCTATTCTACTATTCTATTGATAGTGCAGTGCAAGTGCATGGTGGTCATTCTTTTGTAATAATTCGTTTTTCTAATAGATTGGATTTGAGTAGGTAGATTTGAGTAGGCATTCATATTTTCCCACGTTTGTTGCAAAACCTTCTTGCGATTTTCGTCCGCAACGTTAACACAAATTTTCGATATTCTTGATTTATTATTGATGATATATTTCTAATGACAAAACATTTTCACATCATTTATCTATGTTCCTTAAAAATTATTTTCATTAATATTTATCGATGAAATTAATATATAAGCGATAAGAAATGTTATTTTGCACTCGATAATATCCGCGTAATTATACGACCGGTTATCAGTCAAAAACGCAAGTAACGTGGATACAAATGTCTGCGATAGTTCAATTTCAATTTTAAAGTCAGATAAAATCAGAAAATCCACGAGTTACTATGTGAGAATCTGTTTCTCTAATGATTAAAAGATAAATAAATGTTGTTAATCGAAAATCTCCTTCGGTAGCCTTCCACATTCCACAAACTTGTCTATTTTATTAACACCTGTTTGCCCATTTTGATTCATTCAGTGAACTGGTAAAGGTTATGACCATTAAACTTCTCTTACACAGATGAAAAGTGCCGGAAATATTGCTAACTACTATACAAAAAGAAGATTGTATTGAAATAAACCCCTTAAAAAGCATCTAACGTATCCAGAATTGTGCACACTCCTTTCCACCGTATGCCGTGGGCATTGTATGTCCACGGCTGTCCTCGGTATAGGGTGGACATCACGCCCACGGCTGTCCTCGTTATAGGGTGGGCACTACGCCCACGGATGTCCAGGACAAAGGGTAGGCACCACGCCCACGGTGGACAACGGACGTGGACAGAACGTTGACTGCATTGGTTTGTCCACCGTGGGCGAGTGGAAATGACAAAGTCCACCTGGACTGTAGTGTATCATTATGAAAGTATTAGTTTTTTTAAGAAAATCACTATTTGTGACACACATTGAACGGAATAGTGTACCCTTCAGAAGAACATACTGTAAAAGATGATACACTTAATCTTTTCTTCATAGGAGTGACATATACTGCCAGTTTCTGTTCTTAAATGTTTGAAATTGTTGTCTTTGATTGGTGTTTAAAGATTTTCTTATGCCTATGATCATTATGATTACCTATATCAACTTGATATTAGGTTACAAACAAATTTTCTGGAATAATCATCAAAAGTACAGCTGAGATCGACGAAAAATGTGTAAATAATAAAACTACATAAACTTGTACTAGGAAATAAATTGAGAATGGAAACGGGAAATACCCGACCAAAGAGCAGACAACAGCCAAGACCACCAATGGGTCTTTAACACAATAGCAAATATAAACTTAAATATAACAAAAGAAAGGTATCAACTTGAGCTTTTAACCTTATAAGTATAAAGAAGTAAAACAAACGCAGAATCTTTGTTTCTATATCAATCTTTCAGTTAACATCGGACAATAAGTTATTGCCCCAATATTCTTGAATACTAAACTATATCAATAAATCCAAACGATTATATCTCATCAGAAATAACAATCTATTATATCTAAACACGGCGTTTGTTGGTATATTTTGTGTGTACAAAACCGTAGCAAAGATAAAATACGAACACATGTTGAACTTTAGTTCTTTGTTAATGAAATTTGATATGTTGCTGTTTTACTAAAACACTTAAAAGGTAATTCTATTTTTGTATGATTTCAACAATATGAAAAGATTTGGGATGTATGGAAATTTTTGCTTATCAAATCTTTTAAACTGACATATTACTGGTTATCTTATTTGAATTATTCAATACGCATACATGTACATAAGACTGTTTTAAAAGAAAATTATGTATGGTATCAAAATCTTCAAGAAAATTAATGCTTTGAATTAATGTCATCCTGTTATGTTATAAGTGTATTCCTCAAAATACTTTTTATCAAACTGTTGACTTAAAGTTGAATCAATCTTGTGTTGCTACTCTAAAAATTGTCTTCGTATTATTATATTGATTTGTACCTCGTTTTCTTATCCCTCAAGGTTAAACAAAAGTAATATTCTATAAAAGTCATACAGGAAACCACTCATAATTGATTGTTAGCCTGAAACTGCATAACTAGATCAACAGTTCGGAACTTTTAAGCTTACATAAATAATACAAGAGCATTGTTCTTCTGAAACTTGTTATTCAACATGGAAACCAGGTGAAAATAAAGGAAGAATCTCCTGCATGGATACTTCTGATTTCATATCCAAGGTAAACTATGATTTTAGTCATTGGTTTGATTTTCTTAAAAGGAGGAACTTGTTATTTTTTATGTCTTTGAACATACTGATCAGCGGACATTGAAATGCGCATTAGTGTAATAAACTTGGAACCGTCTACCTTAAGTTAGTAGTTGTTGTAATGAAAGTCAAGGCTAGTAATCCGTTTACTTGTCTGAGTAAAATTGAGAATGGAAATGGGGAATGTGTCAAAAAGACAACAACCCGACCATAGCGCAGACAACAGCCGAAGGCCACCAATGGGTCTTCAATGCAGCGAGAAACTCCCGCACCCGGAGGCGTCCTTCAGCTGGCCCCTAAACAAATATGTATACTAGTTCAGTGATGATGGACGTCATACTAAACTCCAAATTATACACAAGAAACTAAAATTAAAAATGTATACATACAAGTGATATACAACAATAACAATAATTTTTTAAAAGATGTATGTTTAAGATATTTAATTCCAAAAATGTATAACAAAAATACTGAACTCCAAGGCAAATTCAAAAAGGGGAAATCCAAAAAAACTAACAAAATCAAACGCTATCAATCAACAGAACAAGTGAGAAACAACTGCCTTATTCATGACTCGGTAAAGACATCTTGTGAAGAAAATAGTGGGCAAATACTGGATTTATGGCTAGCTTAACCTCCCACTTGTTTGACAGCTGTGTATAGTTTCGTTGTATTAAAAAAAAAAAAAATGGGTGAGCAACCCAAAGGGACATACACAGGCAAATTATTCTCACGTGAAATTCACGGATTTCACGTGAGTTTCAAATGAAACTTATCTGAATGTGACGTGAGTTTCACGTGAGAATAATACATGTTAAAATATCAAAATATCAATTATAATTTCATTCAAATGAAGACAACTGTACGATTTATTGTGTTATTCCCTTTGTTTTTAATTGTTTTTCAGAATAGACTTTGTTTCAATTTCTTTTTAACTGGGTCATTAAGGTCAGCCTGTAACTCAAATATTTCAAGAGGAATAATCAGTCAATCTTTTTACTTTGTTTTAAAGTGTTTCTTGACCACACCGTTAAATAAAGCAAATTATACATTGGTATAAGAACTTTCTAAAACTATTTCGTTAATATTCTTTCTATTTTCTAAAAATATTTTTCCATGTACAACGAAAAACCTGTAGCTTGTAAAAACTCAGTCACTATTACGTTTTATCCCTTTTTTTTAAGCACGATATGACCGATAATCAAGCAAAGGATTAAACCTCCATCTACATTATACATTTCACAAAACAAGACAAATTTATTGGTGTGTTAATGTTTACGGTCAGAATAATACGATATAGTGATAAGATTAATTGATTATTGAAATTTATTTAAATATACACTTTAATATCATAATTATCTATATTACGTTATACCACCAAGTTATTGAAATGGATGTGATCTGAATTAAAATATTTCTCTTAAGTTCATCTATCATCTTAAGTTTGTCATTGCCATATTGTGTCAGAATGCTTACAACAACAATTGAGTATTGTCTTTATACTTATGAAACTTAATTAATTTTAAACTTTAATTATCATGGTCATCAGTCTTTAGTTTAACTTCGAAATTATTGACATGAATGTTGTCTGATATTGAACATTTCAATTAAAGGGGCATAAGCGTATTTTAAACTAGACACCATCTGATTAACCATCGATGTGACTTTCAAAGACTGACGATGGATACACAACCCTATATAAACATGAATATAAATAAAGAGTCGCAAAAATCTATTCTGAATTTACCTTCATCAGGAACGCTCAAAGCCAACTATTTGAAAGCCAATGCTGTTTTAGAAATGAAATAGTTGAAGAGTTATAAGATCGTAAAATGACGTTTTATCTAGGTATTGGTATGGGTTTTTCTCAATGTTGAAGGATGTACGATTGCCTATAAATGCTCACATTTACTTCATTTGAACTCTGGTGGATAGTTGTCTTATTTGCAATTAGATCTTTATAAAACCGTAGTGAACCCTCCGATTATAATCATTTTCCCATAAGAAATACATGAAAAAGAAATAATTGGCGGCCTTAAAATTCCTGCCCCGCAGATAATCATTAATCGTTGGCTTGAAAATTGCAGCTGGCGCAGATTTTCTTTAAACAAATATTCGCCTTCTTCAAAAATAATAATCGGCGGCAAAAAATGGCAAACCGGAGTAAACACACATTTTCTTTCGAGTGCAATGACAGACAATCAAATCATTTACTCATTTTTCTCATGAATATCAGATTTATTCATTCAACCTTGTTATAACCATGATTTGAACAGAAACTACGTCTACTCATTTCCTTTTTCAATAATGATAATGATAGTTATGATAATAACAATAATAATATTAATGAAAAAATGAATAATAACAAGTTCAACACCGATGAATCAAAATATGATAACATCAGTAAAAATATATACAGATATACAATTCGTATTGGCTAAAGCTTCTACAATTGGATATACACAGTGTTTACGTCAACTGCTACTGAAAAAAAAAAACTTGAAGTCATCAACACAACGTGGGTGTATCTACTTTTCAGCATAAAAACTTCGTATGCTTTTTACATGGAATACACAATGAAAATTCAAATCTTCATCTCAAATTTTGAACGAAAACCGCATATTGTATGCGTCTTGTTTCAAATATTTCAAAATACATAGTCATACCAAGCGCTTTTATTGTTTTAAATGAATGAATTATCAAGAAGAATCATATAGGAAGACACAATTACTCTGATTGATGGTTGATTGTCGTCCTTTCGTTGATTACTTATTAATAACTTATAGTGTTTAAGACAACAGTAAAGTATACTTATATTTCCTTTACGTTTACGCATTCTTTGGTGTATCTAGTAAATCACCAAGTTAAAAATACACACACTGCAGTATAACTATGTTTGAACACATATAATACCACATACATTTTAATAATAAGAGTCTGTACTTACATACGAAGGGATACAACTGTAGGTACAAACCTACTACGTATACTCTGTTAAATCTTTGTCAAGATTGAATGTTTCAAGTACTAGCTTTTCAAAAAGCTTGTCTCACTGACGTACTTCCTAAATTTGGTAAGCACGTAACTAGAGGGTAGTGCAAGTTCTGATATATGTTTCGGACTTCATTTAGGGCAGTTAAGGAGGTCTTAGATTGTATTTTAGGCGGGGGAATGTTATGTTTATTAGTACTTGGTTCAGGATTGAATATATAATCATGGTAAATATGAGATGTACAACAGATTGTTTTCATTGACTTTTTTATTTGAACTTCTTGTTTTCAAAGATGAACCCTAAAGCCTAACCGTTTATTGATAATTCTGTAATGACCAACATGCAGAATATGGAAGCAGTTTGAAGGAATATCAGTCTGACAATTGTAACCTGTTATTGACCTCATTTCACTGTCCAGTGACTAGCTGCATATAATTATGGTCAACAATTTATATGTGATATGCATTGATTTTGAAGTGTACTTAGTCTTAACTTTCAAGCCACATACTAACCTTACGCATGTCAGTATTGATTTTTTTAGGACTATTTAGGAGGTGTTTGAAGAGACACAGAACTCACATATTACATTTTTTATTCTACATTTCCATTTTTTATACGCCCACTGAAGACAGGACTAATTATGGTTTACCCAAGTCAGTTTATCCATATGTCAACACTTTATACAATCAATTTTAAAACTACATTAGAAATTAACTTTATTCAACCAAACTTCGACATATATATTCTCAAAACAATTTTACAAAGTAAACGGGGAAGATTTTTTACGGAAATTTTATCACATTGCTAGAATTGCTTGAAGAAAGCCTGCTTTCAATTTTCAAGATTTTTACTTTTGTCAAAAATTAAATTAAGAGAATTGATATCAGCTATATTTAATCACCACGGGTTGTAAAGAACAAACAAATACAAAAAAGGAAATAAAGTATGATTGCCAAAAGGACTACCTTCTATCAGAGTGGAAATTACTTTGATTAAAGCAGCTGTAAGTCACCAACAATGAGGAAAACTTAAAGGCCTCAAAATAAGAAAATGTGGATCAGTTAAAACGAAACATCCTGACTTATTACGAAACAACAAATAAAAACATATAGCAGACATCTTTTGAGATTAAAGCTTCTGTAAAGGCATACATATATTATGATGGGATAAAATATATTTGTGAGCGATCAACACTCCCCTAACCAAGAGCAGTATAGTTAAAGAACAACATAAGACCGGGCCTTTAACACTATATGGGATATCGCATTGCTAAAGGTCACAAAATGACATTGAGTTTCTTATATAAACATTACATGGTCTCTGGTGGGTAGGTATTTCTTTGTAATAATATCATATATTCCTATTTCACATACGTAACCTCTAGTTAGGTTGAAAAAATCTTCCTTTACATGTTTTGTATATCAACAGACATGAATACCTATGTTACATATGACATTGATATGAATCCGAAATGAAAACTATCATTATGATAGTATTTATTTTTTTCCAAAGGAAAACACTATTTGTGACACATTTTAAGCAGAAATAGCGTACTCCTCAGAAGAACATACTATAAACGATGATATGCCAAATATGTTCTTCATAGGAGTGACATATACTGCCAGCATCTGTTCTAAAATGCTTAAATTGTTTTCCGTGATTGGCATTTAAATTTCTGGAATAATCATAAAAAGTACAGCCAAGATCGACGAAAAGTTGGTAAATAAAATAAACAACATTAACTTGTTCTATGAACTTAAAAATGAGAATGGAAAAGGGGGATGCGTCGAAGAGACAACAACCAGACAAAAGAGCAGAAAACAGCATTAGGTCTCCAATGAGTCTTCAACACAGTTGCAAATATAATCTAAATTGAACAGAAAAAAAGGTATCAACTTGAGTTTTTAAACTTATATGTTTGTAAGTATAAAGAATTGTAGAAATTTACCTTCGTAAAACATACGCAGAATCATTGTACCAACATATCAATCTTTCAATTAACATCGGGCGATAAGTTATTGCACAATGATTCTCGAATACTCTACTATGTCAATAAATCCAACCGATTATATCGCATCAGAAATAACAATTTATTTAATCTTAACAATGCGATTGTAGGTGTAATTTGTGTGCATTGAATCGTTAAGAAGATATAATACAAGCACATGTTTAAATTTAGTTCTTTATTGATGAATTTGATAAGATGTTGTTTAAAATAAACATTTTATAGGTGATTCTATTTTTGTATGATTTCAAAAATACGACTAAAATTGGAATGTATAAAAACTTGGATTTGTCAAAGTATTATTGACAAATTGATATATATTTTTTATATCTAAATATGAAATTTGTATTATTCAATACGTGTACATACAACTGTTTAAAAAGAAAAATCATGTGTGGAATCAAAATCTACTGGAAAATTAATGCTATTGAATTAATGACTTCCTGTACTTTTATATTCGTGTATTTCTCAAAATACTTATTATCAAAATGTTGACTTGCAGTTGAATCAATCTTGTGTTGCTACTCCAAAAAATGTCTCGTATTTTTATATTGAGTTGAACCTCGTTTTCTAATCTTTAAAGCTTAAACAAGAAGTAATATTCAACCCATACAGATTAAAACATGCAAATTTAACTCACGTGAAATTCAGGTGATTCTCATGTCAGCGCAAACGATTCTATACGTAAATTCACCTGTATCAACCCAAGACAAAAATATAATCCCAAGAGCTCTGCTCGAGGGATTGAATTAGTTGAGGGTTGATACGATGTGTGATATTGAAAAAGCCATATCCACTTTATTATATACATTAGTGTTGGATAATCGGTTGAAATTACCAACCTATTATTTATTACTATCGGTTGCCTCAATCACGACGCCCAAGAAGACATGGAAGAGGAGAATAATTAATATAAATTATGATATATAAATATGATTAACATTGATTTTATTGTATTATCAATAAAGATATTTTTTAGGAACAAATTAACTTTAAGATATAATTGAAACAGACATTGTACTTTATTTTGTATTAGCTGATTTTCCAGATAAATATGAATTTTATGACAATTAAGTTGATACGAAAATGGTTTTACATATGATGGTTCAAGAAAATACGAAATATAACTTAAGACATATAAATATTGTAAATCAAAGACAAATTTATCTCAAAACTTTACGATCACTTTTCCTGTACCCTTTTGTCTATGGGCTTTCTGTCCTGCATTCTCTAACTGGTAAAAAAACATAGATATATAGATAAAGAGATGTTGTATGATTGGAAATGAGAAACTATCCACCCGCAACTAAAGGAGGGGGATGTTAAAAACTATAAGGCACTGAACAATAATCAACAATGACCATAACCCATACAGTATTAGGTGGTGAGAATAAAAGGCCTAGCATGACAATTCTGACATTTTCATAAGACAAAACTAATGGCATTAGTTATGTTCTAAATTATTTGAAAATCGAGAGATGTGGCATGATTGCCAATGAGACAACCATACACCAGAGTTCAAATGACAAAAACATTTAAGCAATAATAGGTCAACGTCTGGCCTTCAACAATGAAACTCCCATAATGTATAGTCATGAAAAATTTGAAAGTTTAAATATGTTAAATGAGAAAACTAAAGGCCTTATCTTAAATTTTATTTAGGGAAAACAAATGACAGCCATGAACCAACACACACCACTGAATTACAGGGGTTTTCTTTTAAACAAAAAAATATCCTAAACATCTGAACATGTTGAACTGTTGTTTTTATCAAATCTTAAAAATTGCAATTTTCTTCAAATGTTACGATCAAGGGTAACCATGTTAACACTTAATACCCCTTCGCCTGGTGACAGGGACATACAAATAAATTCCATCGTCTTATTTTCTTAATATCTTAGCCTTAATATCAATTTTGCTGTAAACTATATCCTTTAGGGAATAATGTTTATACTTCGCATAATCTCATATATACTCAAATATAAAGCATATGAGTAATATGCCAAAAAAATGTCAAAACATATACATGTACCATTATGCATATTTATTTCTATGCCACTGACATAGGCTATGGGGCATTAAGTGTAACACTTGTATGTCCTATTGTCCATCCCATTTTCGTTTCCACACTCTTACTAAAGTTTTCCTCGTCCAAATTTTATGAAATTCATACACAATGCTAAGAACTAAAATTTGATATTCAATATTATGTTACTATCATGGTAAATTTCAAAATCAAGTATCAAATATAAAAAAAATAGTCATTCCAAGCGCTTTTATTTATTTTTTTATTACTGAATTATCAGAAAGAATGATATAGGGAGACGCAGTTACTCTGATTGGTGACTGCTTGTCGTCCTTTCGTTGATTACATATTGATAACTTATAGTGCTTAAGACGACATTTAAGTATACAAATATTTCCATACGTTTACGCCTTCTTTGGTGTATCTAGTAAATAACCAAGTTAGAAATACACACACTGCAGTATAATTACGTTTTAACATATACGTTACCACATAAATAATGAGAGTCTGTACTTACATGTGAAGGGATACAACTCTAGGTACAAACCTACTACGTATACTCTTTTAAATCGATTTTGTCAAGATAGAATGTTTTAAGTATTAGCTTTTCAAAAAGCTTGTCTCGCTTGAGCACTTCCTAAATTTGGGAAGCATGTAACTAGAGGGTAGTGATATATGTCTCGGACATCATTTGGGCTAGTTAAGGTAGTCTTAGATTGTATTTTAGGCGGTGGAAAGGTAGTGTTTATTAGTGCTCCAAAAATTCAGGGTTTAATATAGAATCATGGTAAATATAATATGTACAACAGATTGTTGTCCTTGATTTTTTTATTTGAACTTCTTGTTTGTAAAGATAAACCTTAAGGCCTAACCGTTTATTGATACATTCTGTAATGACTAACATGCAAAATATGGAAGCAGGTTCAAGGAAAAGTGTTCAAGGTTTTCTTACACAAACAAACCGACAAAAAAAAGATAAGCTATAACTTGTCTAATTAAAACCATTTTACAAACCATTTCTTTTGCAATTACTTTCGATGCAATGTTACCCACATTGCACCGCACTTGACGCTACCATATATAATTGAAACACAAGTTGGCAAATTACATCTAAATGTTTGACGCCTTGACAGTGTTCAATTAAAATTATAATATTCTTTTCAACGACGTATAATATAAATATATTTTTGACTATCACAACAATACCTCTTTTCAAATTTTTTGAATAGGATTAAATCTACACAAAGTGGATCGTTTTTGCTGGTTCAAATTGTTCAAATTAAGAGTTGAAATCCTATAGGTCTTTTTGATATGGAATCTCTTATGTTTTTCGAAAGCCTAATAAAATCGTATTTGAGGCATTTTTAATCAACCAGTTAAATATGTCTTTACTGCATAGCTATTTGTAGCACATGGAGAGATCAAAATATAACTTGCGTTGATTATATATAATAGTATAACAGTCCAATAATAGTCCAATATATATATAGTATAATAGCAGTTGACAATGAATTGGTAAGCAACGTATGTAAACAATAATTAGATTTAACTCCTATAACAAAGGAAACCAAAAATGTTTAAAACTCATCTATCATTTAATTCTAATGCTCTCACTGCTGGATTTATATATCTGGCAACATATTTTAAACATTAAATATGGAGGACGTGTTTTTCAACAACCGTTATGCAATTCTATGGAAACCTTGAGCAGCTGGGTTAATTGTTTAGCTTTACTTTCCGCTATATAGATGATGACCTTTCACAGAATTATTCAAAGTTTGTGTACTGTGTTGACTGCATCTAAGATACGGATAAGACTGTCTCATATATTGACTTACGTTCAGAAATCGACAATAAGGTTTGGCTGAGAACTAAACAATACGACAATTTCAATTTTGTCTTCCTAAAAATTCCATTGTAATGAAGCAATATTCAAGCAGACCCTTCACTGCATATGAAGTATATATTTCCAACTTTGAACGATATTCCTGGGCTTCCGTTTCTTAATAAAAAAAAAATCCCTAAAAGACTAAATGCTTAAACGGAGGCTTTTGCATTATTGGTTTCAAACAGTAAACTGGAAGCCACCCCTTTGTAAGTTTTACGGAAGCCATGATAATGATTTGTTTGGCCTTTGTGAAATATCTGCGTCATATGACATGTTCCTCAGGCAAATTTGATCTTAGATGGATTTTGTTATTATTTTTAGGTCATTTTTGGTCATAAATCTCTTCAACTGTTCTTAAATATCCTAAGCTTTCAAATAGTTGGCTTTGAGGTTTCCTTATGAACAAGATGAAGGTAAATTCAGAAAAGCGCGTCAGAAACGAGAAATTTATAAATTGTTTTTCATTTTTTCAATTTGTCGTATCTACTATAACATCCTCTTCTTCTCGCACCTTTACTTACCAAGAGTTATACGACGGTTGCCACTAGAGAAGCAGAAATAGCTTTCACTCGAGGTAATCCGAGACACTTCCGATTTTATGTTGGGTTTGTCATGTTCAATCTTTAGTTTTCCGTGGAGTTTTTTTATATTGCTTTTATTTCTGTAAGTTTCTTATTTAACATGGCGTTGTTTGTTTATTTTTAAAGTTTTTATTGCCCCTTGGTGTCTTCTATTTTTCTGTTACCTAAGTAAATTATCCCGAAAAAGAGTAAATAGGGACATGACACTTACTAGCTAACAAACACGCACTCACCAAGGAATATTTTGATTTTTCAGTACTCTTATTCTTAACTATAGACTGAAGAAAATTTTCATCTCCTCTCACTTTCGTTGGAATTTCTCCCATACAAAGAAAGGTCTGTAGGTCCGTTGCGTGTTTCTTTTTGAATTGAGCCCTTTTCAACTGGGTTTTACAATTTGTTCTTACGTTGTTTGCTATTTAAATAAAATTGAGAATGGAAATGGGGAATACTGTATGTCAAAGAGACAACAACCCGACCAGATCAAGAGCAGATAACAGCCGAAGGCCATCAATGGGTCTTCAACGCAATGAGAAAATCCCGCACCAGGAGGTGGTC